TTAATCAAAGAAAACACGAAGCGCAATGAACAAAAAATGAAAAACTATATTTATCTTAATTTTAATTTTACTTTTATTGTTTTATTAATAAAAAAATAAATTCAACTCTTTAAAACCGTCAAGTCTAATATTTATGTAACGTAAAAATAAAGTTAATCGTGGAACAGGGAGTCTCATTAGATCAGTTAACAGTCAAATTAAGGTCATTAGCAGAAAAAAAAAAGAAAAAAAGGAAGAAGAGATGGAAGTCATGGTGCTAATTTGAGGGTTCGAGCAACTGTAGAGTGAGGAGCCATGGAAGGCATGAAAAAGGTGCTTAAACCCTGGGAAGACGCAATGGTCTTGTCAATTCATGATTTTAGAATTCTTAAGAGGGGCATGAATGATTGGTTTTGACTTTTCATCAGAACTCCCTGGTGCTGATTTTCCAATGCCCCTCTGTTTACATGTTATTCTACTTTCTTCCCCCTTTCTTTTCGTATTTTTACAAACTTGCCTGTTATCTTCTTATATTTGCTTGTAATCTTAATTCCAATGAGGTAATGACTGAATTTGAGATAGATTTTCCTCTTTAAAAACTTGAAAAAACGGAAGAGAAATACTATGTTTTGATATTTTATTAATATCCAAGTTATGGATACAACGATTATTTTCATACTTTTAACTTTTATAAAAGATTAATTTTACAATTTGACTAACCTAATTGTGTTGTTTTTTTAAAAAAAAATTATAGAAATTATAAATGATATTTCATTTACTAAAAATTATAGAAAAAAATTTTTGACTCGTAAATGGCTCAAAATAATGCATATTGGACTTGAGGGACTTAATTGAAAAGCTTGCTAAAGTGTTTTGTAGGTTTTGGATGTAATTGCTAAAAATAGTTCGAAAGTAAGCAATAAAACAATGGTTAGCATTGATGTGGTATTTTCACATGGGAAAGCTGCCTACAAACGTAAAGTCTTCTCTTTCAAGGAGCATGTATGTCTGACTCCAACATAATGATTCTTAATTACAAAAAGCTAATTTCACCCACAAAGCATCAAGCAAAACGTGCCTCAATAATTAATCTTTTTTTTTCTTTTTAATTAAAAAATATGTAGATGACGGGGAATCAAATAGAATATTTTAATTTTTTTGAAAAATGGAGGAACACGGGAGACTTAATCAACGGCCAGCATTTCATCCCAACGCGTCCCTGGCTTTATTATCCTTATTTCTTTAAAGTTTGTCCTTATCATGAATTGCCACGAAGTAGTAAATATCCAAATTTAGAATAAAAAGAGCACCAAAAAAATATCTTTAACTGAAGTCAAAATATTGGAGTGGATGAGTGGCGATTAATCGGGGTAGTGCCGCCGATATTTTGGGTGTGTTGTTTTACATCGGCTGCGCTTTCATGGAAGAAGCCAAAGGTGATGAGCTTTACCAGGTGCCACAGCGTACAAGGAGGATTTGATTTCATCACGGACTGTTAGCATGTTTAAGGTGACCTTGGAATTTGATTGGACCACATAGGCGGCTCCTTCTTGTCCATATTTTGTAACTGTTTGTCAGCCAAAATTAAAATGTTAGGCAAATAGAACGTACCACGCCACAATTTTTTTAAAATAAACAATTATATTTACTATTTTTTATATGGATCTATATATCTAATATATAGACTGTAGTCGATATATGAATTTTGTATATTATTAATAAATAAAATATTATACAGTGTTTAATAAATAAATTTCAAAATTAATAATTCTTAAAAATATATATTTGTAATTATTTTTCTTTTCGAATTTATAACATTGTTTGATGAAATAACAATACATATAACTATTATAAGATATAATATTTTTTTGTAAAAAACAAAAAAAAGGGAGTATAGTAAGAGATTGATGTTCTAGTCTTCTAGAATAAATTATGGCCACTGGTTTAAAGTAATGTGAAAATATCTTCTTCTTTTTCTTAATAACCAATATAATTTTATATAATTGCATGCTATTAAGATTTAGGAAAAGACAAAGGCTAGAGAGGCGAGACTTATTTTATGAATAGACAATATTAGTCTTTTGAGAATATATTTTTACATATTTTTATGGGATTTCTCTAACAATTATTAATTCATTATCCATTTTTTTATATCGGTTCAAATTTTAAAATTTTATTCATTTTTCCTCATATAAACTTTGTTTATGTGTCAATAATAAAAATAGGGACAAGAGTCCTTTGACCACTGATTATAAAACATTTTAGTTGTTTTAATTAAAATATTTTCATGTAATAAGCCAAACTTCCTTTCTTCTGACAATGGGAACAAAAAAACTCATTACTTCATAGGAAGGTCTATCCTGTAGGCTGTAATGAAGGATGCTATTTGGATAAATCCCTATGAAAGAAATATGGTTAACATGTTTATTATTATTATAGTAAAAAAATCCTGTTTAATGGTGTCATTTTACGTTTTTATTATACACGTAAACTTCCTTAATAAAAGGAACTTGTGAAAAAATTATTGGTTATAAAAATGTAAAAATTGAGAGCCCACTCAGATAGAATATTTCTGTACCTATTGAACCATATATTTGATAATTGGAAGCCGCCACTCAAACCAGGTAATCAGTCAATTACTGGAATTCCTTTTAGGGCAAGTGTACATTCAATATAACCTTTTTCATTTTTTCAATTGAAAATAAAAATAAAAAATATGATTTTAATACATTTTGTATTAATTTTTTAAATATAATATAAATCTCTTGAAGCATAATGAGAACACCAGGTAGTGGTCCATATTTGACAAAAGGAAGGGCGTAATTCTCAATGTTTTTTTGGCTCAAATCTTTTGACATCTTATTGGAAAAGAAAAAACAATACAGTTTAATTTTCTTTATTCTGTTTTGTTTTATATCATTTTTTCTGGTGGAAATATTTTGAATCAAATATAATGAAAAAATTCTGAAATATATATATATATATATTAAACAAAAAAAGAAAAGAAAACCATGGTGGCGTGCCTTCAAATTCTTTTCCTTCACAAATTGTTAAACATAGAAGGACATATAGAAAAGCATACCAAGAGTGTTTACAAAGGGAAAGAAATCAAAACTGATAAGGAAAAATTAATAATGTAGAAAGCCACTCCCCTTTTTTTCTCCAAAAAAATTACTTTTTTTGCTATCCATCTTTCTATTTTGAAACGGTTCAAAATATTTTTTTTTAAATACATAATACTTTTTATTTTTTTATATTATAAGTTGACAATTTCTTCCCAAAATTAATCTACTTGCGAATGAGCAAATCAGGAAAACCATCAAAAATGGCGAATATACTGTTTACTTCCATTATCATAGCCAACAAAGTCGCAAAAAACAGGTAAATTCCTTGGCTCTTGGGTATATATAATTTTAATAATTAATTATATATCTGTTCTGGTATGTAAATCAAGCTACAACACAAACAATTCCTTAATTTTTGTTACGAGATTTTATTTATAGGATTTGCATCTTGATTTTCCATTAGCATACTAAAGCTTTCGTGTCATTAAAATAATGTAAGATCACCTTCGTTAAAAGTCAATTATGTTCTTTAAAGGAGATGAATTTTCATCTTAAAAAAATGGATTAATTATTATTTTATGTATAAAAAACTATACACTTAGATATACCTCAAAATTCATAAAAAAAATTCATTTATTATCGCATGTGATAATTTTAAACTCTTTTTAATTATCACTTTTATTAGGTTACTTCTTTTGCATATTGCAATCAGTTGAAAAATAGCATATAAACGCATCAAAAGATAAATTTTTTTAAAAAATATTATTAACTTTTACTTGAATATAATTGAATAGAATTTATTACTTAATATTAATATTTTAAAGCAACATTAAGAAGAATAGAGAAAGCACTCACTTGCCCAAAAATAAAAATTCAATTTATAGTTGTTAATTCAAAATAACTATCATGTGTGGAATTTTTTTTTAAAATATTGACTATCAAATATTATATTGTATAGTAAGATACGATGAAATATTTTAAAATTAATTATAAATAATATATAAATTTATAAAATAAATAAAAGAATTTAAAATATTATTTTTATTAAAAAATTAAGAATTATGTGACATAAGTTAAAAAGATGATTGCTTTTTAGTTGAATTTCTTAACTTGTTTATTAGAATATATTTAAAAATAAAACATGTATTTTTTATATTAATTTATTAATTAAAGGCAAAAAATAAACATTTGATCATCTATTGAAGACAAAAGCATGAATCTGATTTTTTTAAGTATTTTTTTTACATAGAATCTAATTTTTTTTATAAAAAATAGTTTTTTTGTACTAATGTTTTAATAAAAAAGAAAACTTTTAGTAATGGTGTAAAATAAACTTATTATAAAAATATATCATACCATATGATAATGTATGAATACAAATAAATGTAGCAAGTGATATATTTTTTATATTTAATTAAATATAATGTAATATATCTACCTGTATCATTTTTGGTTGATGACATATAGATTTTTCTGGGTTGGTGCAAGATTTGTGGTGGCATTCAAGCTCGTTTATCTAATGAATTCACCTTTAAAGTAAAAAAAAGGAAATATATCGGACTTTACTATAGTATCCTGGATTTTATATCTATTTCAATTAACCAAAGAAGGCCACTGAGAGCGTGTATCGCAGTCCCAACAAGAAAAGAAAATAGTTCAGATTTTGACAAATTTGACCTTATCTCATTTCTCTCATCTGAGTCACACAGTAGCCCGAGTCCACTAGCTCCACAAAATTGCTGCTTCTCAAACCCCAGTCAAGCATGTTACTATCCCATCAAACAAAAAGCCGCCACGTGCTGTAACTTAACCCTAGAAGCTACCGACAGAGCTAGCTTAACCCTAGTAGCTGCGCCATACCCAGGCTTTTTACCGATTTAATCGGCTCCTCCAGCCCCTTCGTAGAAACCGCCCTCATATTTTTTGTCCCCTCTCTCAATCCTCTATTTCCCCACCCATCCTTTAAAAAAAAAAAAAAAAAGACTCAATTCCACTCCAAATAAATCTCAAACCAAACCAAATGCGCTGCAAATAATCCCCCGCACCTGTTCCAGCATCCCACCTTCTCTCCTTCTGCTGCCAAACAACAGAAACAAATTCCTTAAAAAGAAAAGAGAAAAAGACAAAATCTGGCGAAATCATATGGAATGACGGACTACCGGTTAGCGCCGACGATGAATCTTTGGACGGATGATAACGCATCGGTTATGGAAGCTTTTATGAGCTCTGATCTTTCCGCTTTATGGCCACCGCCGCAGTCCTCTGCGTCCACTTCCGCACCTGCAGCTGCTGCCGGACCGACCTTCCAAGTCATCTCTCGCCCAATCTCAGCCCTCCGTTTCTGTGCTCAATCAAGAAACTCTCCAGCAACGTCTGCAAGCCCTCATCGAGGCGCCGCGAGAGCTGGACTTACGCCATTTTTTGGCAGTCCTCGTACGATTACTCCGGCACTGCCGTACTCGGCTGGGGCGATGGGTATTACAAAGGTGAAGAAGATAAAGGGAAAGGGAAGTTGAAAGCTTCTTCATCTACAGCTGCCGAGCAAGACCACCGTAAAAAAGTGCTTAGGGAGCTCAACTCTTTGATTTCAGGCTCCACTTCCCCCACCGACGATGCCGTCGACGAAGAAGTTACCGACACCGAGTGGTTCTTTTTAGTTTCCATGACGCAGTCTTTCGTTAACGGCGGTGGGCTTCCGGGGCAGGCTTTTTTCAATACGAGTCCGGTTTGGGTTGCTGGATCGGACCGGTTAGCCACTTCGATATGCGAGCGAGCAAGGCAAGGGCAGGCTTTCGGTTTGCAAACGATGGTTTGTATACCGTCGGCAAATGGGGTGGTTGAATTGGGGTCAACAGAACTTATCACGCAAAGCTCGGATCTGATGAATAAGTTCGGGTTTTGTTTAATTTTAATAATGGAATTGAAGCTGGTTCTTGGTCTATGAGTAATAATACTGCTGCGATCAAGGTGAAAATGATCCGTCTTCGCTTTGGATAGCGATCCCAATAACGGAATCGAACTTAAGGAAAGCAATAACAACAGCAACAACAATAATACTAGCCATCAGAATCAGCAGATTCAGAAGTCAATTCAGTTCTGTGACAATCCGAGTTCCAGTAGTTTAACGGAGAATCCGAGTTCGATTCATGTTGAAATCATCAGCAGCAGCAGAATCAACAGCAGGGCACAGTTTCTGCTTGAATTTCTCGATTATGTTTTGATGGGAGTAGCAGTGTGAGGAACGGCAATTCTTCTTCTCATTTATTGAAGCCAGAATCCGGGGAGATATTAAATTTTGGTGAGAGTAGGAGGAGTGGGAATGGGAATTTGTTTTCTGGGAATTCTCAGTTTGGGGTGGAAGAGAATAAGAAGAAGAGGTCGCCTAATTCGAGAGGGAGTAACGAAGAGGGGATGCTTTCGTTTACTTCTGGTGTAATTTTGCCTTCCTCTGCTGGGGTGAAATCAAGTGGTGGTGCTGGGGATTCTGATCACTCTGATCTTGAAGCTTCTGTTGTTAAGGAAGCTGATAGTAGCAGAGTTGTGGAACCTGAAAAGAGGCCGCGGAAACGAGGAAGAAAACCGGCTAATGGAAGAGAAGAGCCTCTGAATCATGTCGAAGCAGAGCGTCAAAGAAGAGAGAAGCTTAACCAGAGGTTTTATGCGCTGCGTGCTGTGGTTCCTAATGTATCGAAGATGGATAAAGCGTCACTCCTCGGTGATGCAATTTCATATATTAACGAGCTTAGGACGAAGCTACAGAATGCAGATTCGGAGAAAGAGGAGTTGCAGAAAGAACTAGAGGCGATGAAGAAAGAATTGGCAAGTAAAGATTCTCGTTCTGCGCCACCACCACCTGATCAAGATCTCAAGATGTCGAACCACCTTGGCAATAAATTGGTAGAATTGGAAATTGATGTGAAGATCATTGGATGGGACGCAATGATTCGAATCCAATGCAATAAAAAGAACCATCCAGCAGCGAGGTTAATGGCTGCCTTGAAGGAGTTAGACCTGGATGTGCATCACGCTAGTGTGTCGGTAGTCAATGACCTGATGATCCAGCAAGCCACTGTGAAGATGGGGAGCCGGTTTTACACACAGGAGCAGCTCAGGATAGCCCTAACATCCAAATTTGGAGATGCAAGATAGAGAGTATAGCGCAGAGCTTGATCTGTATAAGCAATTGGGATAGAGCTTGATCGGAGATAAATAGGACCGGAGTTTCATTGTTTGAAAATGGCTGCAGGCCTCTGGGACATTTTAAGGCTCCCGGTAGCACCAAGCTCTGTAAAAATATTGTTCTATTTTGCTCTTAGTAGTGTTTAGTATAGTTAATAGTTTGGGAGGTGATCTAAATGAAGCCGCAGGAGCTTAACTGGCTAGCGGGTCGGGTGATTTTCCATAATTTTTCCACTGATGAACATTGTTGAGCTCCAGTCAACTGGAAATAGCCTTTTTGTGTTAAAATCTTGTAGTATGTCTTCAATGTATATAGCTTGTTATAAATTTGAACCTGAATGAAGTTCTGGGTCTTTTACTATGTTGTCTCCCAAGTCCCGGGGTTCCTTCTCTAGACTTACATGTCTAGCTCTGCTAAGTTGTAGTAAAGTTTGTTTCTTTTTTACTTGTGAGCAAGTTTTGCTGCGACATAAAGCATACCTGCTCCACACCTTTTCATTGAGGCGTTACGGACATCAACATTAGTGTTTTGAGAGGTTGGTGTAAACAAGGGGACATTCGGAACTCTTGTTTGAGAGATTTACTTCATTCTTTTGTATCCTTTGTTCCTTCCTCCACATGCTTTGGCCGTTTTTGGTAGTGATGTTTGTTGCATTTCCTAGCGCGTTGACGTGCTTGCTACCATTTTTGCTGACAAGAGCCCTTCGGATGTCCAGCCTTTTAACGTTTTTATTTTTCATTTAAGGCCTCTGCTAATTTGGTTTTGACCACTAGAATTTTTCATGCCCCAAATGCACCGACATTGGTGATAAGGAAAAGAGCATTGCCTCCGAGGTAATGCATGTGGATAATCTTCTGCACCTCCCTTACTGCCACAAAAACGTATTCGCATCCTTGATTTTTCCTTCTGGGCTTATAGAGAATGTAATGAAATATTTGCAGGGAGTTGTGGGAGTTGGAAGTTAATCAATATTCAGCGCTTTTTTTCCTTTTTATCAGATGCAATTACGAGGAATTGAATGTCCCTCGGAGGAAGGAACTGCAAATCTTTAATTCAATTCAGAAGAATGCATTTACTTCTGCATTGACTCTTTGAACAACAATGCAGACATTTTTCAAAAGTTCTCTCTCTCCAGGCAATAACTTTAAAGCCTTGTGCTTGCCAGTGCGCTAGTTGGGAACCAAACCAACACAAAGAGAAAGAGGAAAGGAATGGATACAAGTTTGCTTTATAATTTGAAATTGAACCCACTAGCGAAAATCAAGCAATAAAACAATAAAAAGTGAGCCAGTGAATTAGGTTCACTTTTAATTACACTTATTTTCATATTTAATAATAATATAAAAATATATAATGTAATTTTTATTAACGTAGATAATTTTTAATAAATTACATTTTTTTTTATAATTGAAAAAAGAAGAAATTCGAATTTTACTTTTTAGACAAAAGATTATACATCATCTAATAAGCCAAATACTCATATGTTTAATAAATTACATTTTATTTATAATTCTGTTAAAAAATTATAAAATGCAACCAAATTTATAAAAATATTATTAAAAAATCATATTAAATATATTTTTAATAACATATTTTAGAAATATCAAGCTCTAAGTCAAATTTACTATAATGATATATTTGATTAAAGTTTAAAAGTAAATAACAAATATCCAAATCAAATGAAACTTTCTCATAAAATTTCATAGAGCCTATGGCAATAATTTGTTGAAGCTTATACCGTAAAACTCCAGCCTTGCATAATGCCATTCCCTGATGACCAAGAGAGCCATAACAGGTGAACAATGGCTGAATCTATTGAAAAAATTTCTGCTGTTGACCATGTGGCTGTGGGTATGTCCTTTTCTTCGACTTCCTGGGCGTAGCCTCGTGTATTTTCCACGTTTTCAAAATTTTTAAAATCTTGTACATGTTACATTTTTTTTTTAATTTTTTTTATTTCAATGATTTTTAATTTTTATTATTTTTAGCTTTGAACTTTTTGAAAAAAATTAATTAATTTCATCCAACAGTGTAATATTATTTGTACGGAATTCTCTTGATCGGTGATTTTCATGTTTTTCTTTTGGAAAACGTTTAATAATGTCATTGTTGAAGGAGGAAGGTTTTGAGACACGGTGGAGGATGCTGAATAACTGTGAAAACATGAGAAAATGGGATTCCCAGAACCTGTGGATTTCAAATACAATTTTGAAACGGAACTTGCGGAATGATTGTTTCGACACTGAGATGGGCACCATGGACGGTAATTTAACTCACATCAGGCTAGTAGCAGATACTATTAGGTTCAACTTTGGTCATCACTTGTTAAAAATTATGGGTACATTTAGCCGAGACATAATCTATTCGAACAGATGGTACGAAATGTCGTATCACTTTCTCTAATTTATTTTTGTATTTCGTTTGGCTTTAACAGCGTGAGTTTGCCATTTTACTTGTTTTATAGATAACAACAAGACAGAAAAAGAAAAAGTTAAAAAGGGTCTATTTTCACCACGCCTAAGTCCTAACCCATGTGCTATCAAATCAAATCATTTCATTATATTTGGTTCAGTCAGTTCGTTATCTCTTAATAAAATGTAAGGCTCAGATTGTCCTAAAGCCAGTCTAGATAAGGGTATTTATTTTTTTGGGCAGAGAATTTGGTGCAATGTCCCCACGAAGTCGGAATCTGGCACTTTACCCCAAACAAGGATAGCATTTGGCAACAGAGATGCAATAATCCATGTTGGATTTTCACACCCGAATCCAAAAATTAAAATTCTCAAATACGATTATCAAGGTAAATTCTGATTCCCTTGTACCAAACAGCCGATTGGACAATGAAGTTGGAACCTGGAAGGAATGTTAGGTTTTGCTGTTACATATTTTCTGGTATAATGAGTCATTTCTCATCATTTCCCTCCATCCAGCATCATCCTGCTTGACAGAGGTAGATGTTACATATTGCAGATTTTGGTAGCCAGCATTATTGTTAAATGAATTTGTCATCAGGATTGCAACAGGGTATTAATTACTTTGGTTATTAAGTTTGGTATATTAATTTAATGCTAATAAATCCTGTATTGAATTTTTAAAATTAATCTAAAATCAATCATAAGTCGTGAAAGAAATATTTAGTATATTTATATGATATTTTCAATTGAAGAAATTTTGAACATCATTCTAATACTCCACTTTATGGATAAGAATAAATGAGTTTATCACGTGGTAATTTAGAAAGGGACAATAATCAAAGGGATAAAGCGTATTATAACCAATTAAAAATAAATGGAGAGACTCCTATTACATCAATGTATATATAACAATAAATGCGATATTTTTATATCACGATTCTTGAAAAAGAATAGAAGGAAATCAAAACAAATACTAGTGATTTGTGGTCACTTTGAGAGTGGGGATGCAACGTGCATATATCTAATGGAAATCCTCAACTCAACAAAAAACATAAGCTTGACTGTCAAGGCTAAAAGGTAGTGTTCAATCTTAAGGTAGAAGAAGGGTCCAAACCAAAGTAGGCAGACCATTCAATTGCAAGCTTTTTCAAAGCTAAGCGATCCCCTGATTTAGTTCCCTAAGGTTAAGGATCAACTTGCAGTGCTAACAGACATCCCGTACCTAGTTTAATTTATAATTTATAAAACTGGGGTTAATTTTTTGTCCTTTTGTTAGGAACTTCTATCACTGTAACATCTGATGGAAGGAAAACCAAGAACAAGAAACCAAGTTTAATTTAAACATTGCTTCAACACAACCCTAGGAATAAACTTAAATTTCAAAACAAATAAATTAAATAACTCCTCTTCTTTTTGAATTCGAAGAATTAGCTAAGTTGACAAACAAGTATGATCTGTTAGGTTATTATCTTGATTTCGAGCAACATGATTCGAATTGACTAAAGTGATGAGGTTAAATTGATTAGGAATCCAATTTGATTGTGCCACATAACAATTTCTGATTTGTCCATTAATTAATTGCATGATAAATGGAGAGAAGGAAAAGATTAAATGAATGGAACCATGAAATGGGCTTTCAATTCATGTACAAATACCTAAAAAGGTTAGCTGTTAAATGAATGGAGTCAAAAAAAAGAAAGGGTGGCGGCAATTCTAGAATTTCCACCAGAGCACAATCATTGATCCTCGAAAGGAAAGGGGAAGGGGAATCCTCCAGGAATTGAAGGTGAGAAAAGCCACCACCAACTGGCTTTCCAGATTTTGATGAATCACAGGAGCAGTAGAAAGTATTCTGGTGCTTGAATTCACACAACACCTTGTTGGGAATATATTTAGAAAAGAATTGAATTTGGACAGATTGAAGGAATGGGGTAGCCACATGCTTTGTTTGAGACAATAGGAATGAGATTCCAAACAAACTACACCAAAATATTAAATGCATATGGATTTTTAAACTATCCCTGCTTCTGATATGAGATTGCATTCTTATCTTATGCACTTTCCATTCCAATTTGTCAAAAAAGGATGCATGCTTAAATGGGAACGCTGAAAGAACCTCCGGTCTTAAACTGATTTAGATTGAGAGAAGGGATTTAGATTTTTATGATTGTTTAATTAGTAGTAATTTAAGCAGATGAAGTCCAAAACTATTTAATCAGGTGTTCTTGGTCTACCTTTCTATGCAATTTTATGGAAAATTGAGCAGTGATGAAAGAATTAAGCTTGCAAAAAACACAAATCCATCTCCTTTAACAAACTTCAAACAATTCAAAGCAAAATGTACGTACATAGAAACCAAAAGAAGTTGATAGCCTTGACGTAGTCTCCTTTCTTCTTCTTCTTCTTCATAATCAACGTACTCTCATCTCTTTTCTCATCTTCTCATCCCTCGTTCCTCTCAAATCCTCAAAGCTCCAATCCCTCCTCATCCCGCAGCTCCTCACCAATCTAGGTTCACCGTCAGCTTCGAACGCCATAGCTCCGAAAGTTGTATCAATTGTATTAAGCCGGCGGTGACCCTTCCTTATCTTCTTTGTTGGAACCGGCGTTGGCTCGTTTCTGATTTGCTCATAAGCCGCAGGGCTTAAATTCCCTGACCAGCTTCTATCAACCCTTATACAACAGAACTTCCTGCTGTCCTTTTCTTTACCATAATCCCTATCTTTGTTTGAATCCGTTCTTTGCAGGACCTGGCAAGTCAAGCAGTTGAGACTCATGGCTTGTTATTCCTTGTTTGTTCCCCACCCCACACAAAAACCAACTTCTTTGATCAGGAAGACAGGGAGATGAACAAGGAATGGAGGGATTGGAAAGAGATGTTGTCCATTGAGGTTTTAATGGCTTAGGGAGGTGGTGGACAAAGTGATAACAGATTGGAATTTACAGATGAGTTTTTCCAAGTGGTTAATTAGTTAAACAGCTTTTGGTATTAATTTTAGAAGCATCGCTTTTTGCTTTCTGAGATTGGGATAAAATGTTTCCGCAAGGACCGGTAAACCAATTCTAAATTTGAGTTTCTAAGTACAGCTAAATGATGACAGACAAACCCATTTGTCTAATCAGTAATTACTAAGCAATCAAAAATATGCACATGTAGATGGGGTTAGACCGTTGTGATCTTACAAGCCTCGGCCCTCTCAATAAACCCAATCTTATCTTCTCATTCTCCCAGTAAACCCAACCACAAAGAAATGCAGCTGATCGGAGTTTTTCCCTTTGTTGTGTTTGGTACTAATTGGGACAAGTGATATACTATGACCTTAGTTTGGCAGCGATGTTCTTTTGAAATCCAACGAAGGATTGACTCAAATGTATGGCATTTTCATTCAAAAATGTTTACTCCAAGATTCATTCTAAAATAAATGAATTCCGTTCTCACACTTTGATTCCTTTGTTTGTCTTTCATGTGAGCTGGAGAACATGCCACTGTCATTGATGCCCCTTTTTTAAGTTGAATGAATGGCTGAGAAAGGTGTACGAACAGAATTAATTTCCAACAAGGAGTCCATTAACATTACTAATTATTCAATACTATGTCCAAGGTGCAGGCAAGCGCTCTCTCTAGGCAAATCCAGGTTTGATATCATTCAAACAAGCAAAAGTCTAAATTCATTGTGATCAAATCATACAGGATGTACGAGACAGCAATTATGTAATGTTAATGTCACATATTACAATCTTTCTTCACCATTCTAATTCTAGTCCGATCTCAGTCTGCAACAGTCTTCCAGGTATGCAATGCATCTATTCATAAAATTCAAGTTTGTTAACAGAATGGTTCTTCATGCTGGGTATATACTCTGTTCTGCATCTGAAATTGAAAAAGTTGTAAGAAGTTCACAAAACCTAACAACAAAAGCTCTTCCTAAATACGGCAACAAACTGACTTACCACGCCATAAGTTCTTTTAGTCATTACAACTCAGGATCTTCCAACGATCACACAGACATGTGCTATCCAGCATTCAATTTTGTACCTGTTATACATTCATTTCACAGAGCAGCTTGGTTACAACCAACTCAACTCTTCTTATTTCTTGCATCTGCTTTCCAGTCTCTTCGACCAAGCTTAAGTTTCCTAGTTTCACAATTCGCCAGCTTATGGGAATTTTCAGAATGGCATTCTCTTTCAAGCGACCCTTCTGCCCTAATCCCAGCGGGCAAGCATTGTGTTTGGCTTTCAGCTGTTAGGATCAGAGTAGACTGAACAGAATTATGAAGTGTGTCTTCTTGACCCTTGCATATGTGAGCCTTTCTAGCATCTTTCTTCCAATCCCGTTTACAATGAACACGTGCTGTTCCATTGTTGAGGATCCCATTTAATTGCAACTCTACTGGTGGTATAGTTGGTTGGTTTAGGACATGAGACTTCTGCATATCTGCTTCAAGTCGCTTTCGAGCCCTATATCTACGCTGCCGTTCTCTGTTCTTTAGACGGCGTGTCATAATGTCATTATAACTTTTAGTGTTTGTGTTAGTTACTAAACTAGCTTGTGTACCACTAGGATTCATATTTAGCCCGTCTTCCATTTCAAACTATTGTTAAATCTGTAGGAGTAAAACTAGTTGATGAAGGAACCTAAATAATCTGTATACAGCTTCTGTATGATGGAAAGCTTGTTGCGCTTCTTACCACTGAGCATTTTCTGCTCCATGCAACATCAAGCAGGTACCAATTACCATTATGTCAGTCAAGTTCTCAGCCATCATAACGGAATCTGTACACAAAACAAAGCACATTATTCCAGAGAATTATGCTAAATGAGATTGTTTGAATATTGTATATGTTATGACTTCATACATGACACAAAAGGAAAAAGATACTAGAAGATTGCTCAATAATCTAGAAAGTTTGACTTCTATCTTGTACAAGGCCAGAAATGGTGATCCCGGAAAGTGAGGTGTATTGGAGCTTGCCTTCTCCTGATCACCTTCAACCCAAGACTTCTGTACCATGTATAGAAAAGAGACCTTTATGTTCCACGTATAGAAACTCCTGCATCTCAATACTTATAAAGGAAACCTTTATCCCTGAGAACAATGCCTCTGGAACATATTTATTTATCTGTCTTATCCATAATATCAGTCTGGCCAAATGGGCCACCCCATCCGCAAATTTGTATTTATAGAAAGTGAACAGGAAACTGTAACCATTTAAGCATCTATCAACTATTTTCCATAAAGTTAGAAACTGAGCACTATTTCTAATCCTCCCAGCATTGATGTGGAACTTTAACACCATTTCCAGGGCTTATTACTTATACGACAATAAGCTACAACTGTTTCCCTGTCGATTTTATTTTCATAAAAATTTGCATAGCTTTTACCAAATGCTTTTATTTCTTCATATGTCTACGATAAGAATGCTTAAATTCCTTCTTAAAAAAACAATTTATTTCAGCTACCAACATTTAGAACCTGATTTGTCTCATTCTTCATGTAAAACATAATAACACTACCTTTTAGGATATTGTAACCGTTAACATGATTCGTATCACTTTTTGCATGATCGCCAGAGGTAACAATCCCTAAACTATCTTTCTCTTTATTAGGAAGATGGAAACCTCCCTTAGGGGTAATAAAACAAAATGTGTAGCAAGAAGTTATCAAATCAAAGGGATTATAACCATACTCCTCCTATCGTAATCATTGGTTTACACATTGATATCAATGAAACGAAGAATCTATCCGAAATTTGTCTGGCAACTTTCTGAATGATATACAACTCAATTTGATTAATAAGATGAGCGAGCAGCATGGAAGCGCATCAGACAATCTAGAGTTTGAACATCAATCCCCTACAGTGCATGAAATAAATACTAAATTAATTAGATCCTTTTCAGCCCCATCTGACTTCCGCAACTTCCAAGCATGAGTCTTGTTTCAATTATACTTGTTAATAAAATACTATATCATATCATATAACACATTAATGATGTGTAACATCACACTTTGTTAGAAGCATTAATAGATGAATCAACATTGTTTGAACAAGAAAATTTTACCAGTAAAATCACATCAAACCTACCTATAGGCATAAAAAAAACATCAACCCCAGTAATCAAAATAAGCACAAAAGCCTAACCCATTACAAATTTCACATTAACAAACATCTTCGATGTTGTTTAAAGGTGTCCCCGAATTTAAACCTACTTAAAAGCAAGACCCTTTTAAGCCAAAAAATGTTGAAGACAACAAAAGAAAAGAAGCATTATTGTTACAACATGCAGAAATTGAAAGATTGCCAGAAAAAAAAAACAGAGATGAAAAATAGATGGCTTTAGATATGTACCTTTGGAATGCGGATTTTTTTATTTTTTTTTGTTAATTGATTTGAGAGTATTGGGACAAGGTGAGAGGGAGAAAGAGAGGGAGACAAGCTAAGGAAGCGGGCGGTTGTCGGATTAGGGAAGGAAGAGGAAGAAGAAAAACAAGGGAAGGAGCCTTTTAGAGCAATTTTAGGACGCCGATGTTAACGAGAATCACAGTCAAAACCACTGATAACCAAATCAACCAAATGACTTTATGCCACGTGCGATCGTCCTTGCTGTGCAACTTTCTATACAATTTATATTATGCGTGAAACCAACACGTCAACTTGGGGTGGTGGCGCAGTTGGCTAGCGCGTAGGTCTCATAGCTTTGTTGAGTTATCCTGAGGTCGAGAGTTCGAGCCTCTCTCACCCCATCCTTTTGAATTCTTTTTTTTGTTTGTTATTTTGAAGTTGTCAAAGCAAGGCCAGCCCATGGAAAAGCCTTGAACTATTCTCCCTAGAGATGGGCATTTGATTTTGGTTTGAATCAATTACTTGGTTTGATTTATTCGATTATTTTGATCCATTTTTTATGTTTAAAATTTGAATTGAAAAGATCAATAAGTCAATTGTTAATTATAAATTTTTAAAATATAAAGTTTATATATAATATACAAATATATTTATTGCATACTTTATATATAAATATTATTAACAGATAATATAAAATTAAGAAATGTTATTAATTTTTCATTAATATTTATATATATTATAAAATATTAAAAAATAATAAAACTGAGCAAATGCTCATTTCCCCACTCTACGACTTGACCTCTACTCGTAAATTTTACGATTAAATGTAAAGAATGTTTTAGATTTTTTTATTTTTTTTAAATTTGGGTTTAAATGTTTGCAAGCTCAAATAAATGATAAATGGGGTTAAAAAATTATCTCCGAAAACGATATAAGCTTAGAGCTGGATTTTTCGGTTGTGATATTGTTTTAAAATAAAAAGAAAATTACAAAATAAAAGGAAGAAGCTTACCATTTACCATCACCAAGGGTGACGGAGATTTGAAAATTAATACTAAAAACTTTACGTGTAGTGGTACATTCGAGCATTTTACTCATTAATTCGTGTATAATCTCTAAACTTAAAAAGTAAAATTCAAATTCTTCTTCTCTCAACTACAAAAAAAAAAAAAAAAACCCTTTACATGTTGTGGTGTGTTTTCATGCGTTGAAATTAGGGCAAGCTCTTAGCTTCTTCATGTTTAACAATTTAATTGAATTTGCGACGGCGTTCAAACAAAATTTTTGAGCTTGCAATGGCCCGTCGAAAAAGTATAAGACCAGGACAATGATAGATGTGAGTCCCTTTACAAAATTTCTAACTCAATCATGTCTATATTTTGACATTTTAAACCCATTTCCTTCTATAATTTAATATTACAAATAATGAATATTGTGTCACCCTTATAAATCATTGACGAACCATACTTTTACTTACGTTGATATAACTTATAGGTATATATATGGAAGGGTTTTCCGATTAATTAGTTAATATTTTCATGCATCACACGTAAAACTATCAGACACATGATACATTATAGTAATTAAAACTTTATAATATTGATATTTTTGTTATTTAGTTTGTTGATAATAAATAGATAGAATGTAAAAAGTGAAGAAAATAAAAGATAAATTATAAAAATAAACAAAATATAAAAATAATAGATTAGCCATGCAAGGCACCTGAATCTTACTTCACCACGCATAAAGGCTAGGGAAAATGAAATTTGTTCTCATAAAAGATAAGTAATACGGTCAAGTCAGGCTTTGGTTATTATTACATATCTTTTATATATAATAATAACTTTTACATGTGAAAAATAAATAAATCTTGATGCGTAAAATTAATTAAAATCCCAAAACAAAAGGAAATCAAGTACATTTTCTATTATGAACATAATATATATATATATATATATATTAAATTGGAGGGGTTTATATATTAATTATTTGCATGTGGTTAGTGCAAGTACCAATATTAAAATTTACATAATCGTGAGCATTTTTCGTTAATGCTGGAGACCAAGATGCCTTAAGCAACCAACTTGCATGATTCTTATTTATATTCCAAGTGATCATCAATATTAATTAATTGCAAAAAAAAAAAGAAAAATGTTTAACCTCCTATTGACACGTTGGCTACTCATATGGCCTGGAAAACCCGTATGCGACTTTCCCATTTGCCTAACCTTTGCTCTATCCGTCTTCCTTTTTCAATGTTTTTATTAAAATAAAATATATGAGAGAAATATTAAAAAAAAAAAGAAAATAAATTGATTTAATAGAAGCAATAGCTAAACAATTTTGCATGACTTGGTAACGCAAATTTTCCAATATATACAACTTTCTTCTTTACTTTGTATTAATTAGTCATGTGATAAATGATAAATAGAGATATCTCTTATAAAAGGTGACAAATATTTTTTAAATTTTAAAATTCATGTTCTTACCCTCATCTCATCTTAAATTGGTGCGTTGTGAAGTGTGATTATATTATTTATAAATTTTGTATGATTAAATATTAGTAGTTTTCAATTGTTTTAATTATGTCCTATGAGTGTAAAAATATTAATAGTTATATACATTATAATGAATATAATAAAATTAATTAGATATTTTAATAATAATATCACGATTAACATAATTATTAAACAATCGAATAAAATTTTATACACAATATTATGGTTGACAATTTATTTAAATAAGATTAATTTTTTTAAATTTATATTAAACAAGTTATACGAATCAAATCATACAAGATATAAATGTAATAATTTAATAATTTAATAAGTTAAATGGGTGTTAAAATTGATTAAATGAATTTAATTATGTAATTATCATGTCTTGAACTTGTCAACATGATTAATAATTTTAAACACAAATCCACTTAATTTTGTATCGTATGAACTAATGATATCAGAAAATTATAGAATCTAGCTATTACAGCATTTATTATAGAAAAATGATTTTTTGTTCATCATGCACATGTGAAATCAATAAATAAAGGGGCTAAAAAAGTGGAAGAAGAGTCAAAATGATGAGTTGGCAGATATCCATGTGAAGTGGCTGAGTGGACCCACGGCACTGCGATGCGACTGAAAACTAGTAAAAGGTTAGAGAGTAGAAACATCGGCGCTAATTCCGTCTACTTTGACTCTTCCCCCGCTCCCCATAAACATTTAAAAGCCTCCGTATCTATTCTTCGGTTTATTTAACACGTCATTTCGTCGTCACTAAGTTCTGGACCCACCTCCAGGCCCCACGTAACAAAAAAGAAAAATCCCTAAAAATTAAATTTTAAAAAAATGAGAAAGGGGAAAAAATTGTCAAAAATGAAGGTCACTGAATTCATTTCCACATTGACCCACCGCGCACGTTAGTCTCCAGCACCTCCCCCGCTAGCGCTAGGGTTTACTTTCCTTTCTTTTCCTTTGATTTCCCTTTGATTCCATTTTTCTTTCCCTCATTCTAGAAAGAGTAAGAAGGTCTTCACGGGGACTTTTAGAATACAGACCCGGTAATTTTTTCATTGGTGGTTTTTTTTTTGTTTGTAATTTGATTAATTTATCAGTTTTTCTTTTCTCTTTTTACCTGCATTATTTTGTGTGTGTGCTGATCTTGTTCTTGTGATATTGATGGAATTTTATGATGTGGGATTTGATTTATGGGGCTAATTATTTTATAACTGTTTGATGTTTATGTGGTCTGGTTTTCTGGGATTTGCTTATTGAGTGGAAACTTTTGGTGGGTTGATTTTGGGTTTTTTGCCTTTATGATGCAGGAAGCTGACGTTGGGTTTTTGAGGGCAATTCTGAGTGACTAATTTGAAGAACTTAGATTTTAGGGTTTTAGCGTTGGAAGAAAAGGTTGCTCTTGTTCTTGTTGCATAGCAAGTTTAGGTTTGTGTTTGTGACTTTTGGTGGAGATTGAATTGTTATGCGCTTATATTACTGTGAAGAATTTTTATTGTTTGAACTTGGTGTCCCAAAGTTTGAAGGTTTTGAATGACTGCACCCTTGTGGATATCTAGGGAAAATCAAAAGTGCTTCCTGGTCAGGTTTTTGCAGCTTATGCGAAGTTTGAGGTTGTTGTTGTGAAAGATTGCTAGCTGGTGCTTGAGCTTGGATTTTTGAGGTTCTGGGGTATTCTGTTGAAGCTTTTGAATGGTTTGACTTTGTGGCTGTTTGGAAAAATTGGGATTAGTTTCTTGTGGTGCAGTTTGCAGTTTAGTTTTTTGAAATGGATAATTCGAAGAACCGGCATAATGATCATCTGGGTGTGAACAAGATCGGGAAGAATATAAAGAAGAGCCCGTTGCATCAACCTAATTTTGCTAATAATGCAGCTAGGCAGCAGCCTCAGCCTCAGGTTTATAATATAAGCAAGAATGATTTCAGGAACATTGTTCAGCAGCTCACTGGTTCACCTTCACAAGATCCTTTGCCCAGACCACCACAGAATCCACCCAAACCCCAAAGTATGAGGTTGCAGAGAATTAGGCCTCCACCATTGACACCAATCAATCGACCCCATATTCCACCTCCAGTCCCAGTCCCGGTCCCAGCCCCTGCTCATGTACCGGCTCCAGTTCTCCCTCCTGCTCCTTATAACAATAGCTTAGTTAGACCTGGTCAATATGGACCACCATCACCTGCAATGTTGCAACCTATGATGCCTGGAGATGCTTTTTGGGGAAATACAGCTGAATCTCCTATCTCAGCTTATATGCGGTACCTTCAGACTTCTCTTATAGATCCAAGTCCAGTTGGAAACCAAGTTCAACCTCAACTACACCCCCCAGTTCCAGGTCAACCTCAGGCTCTGCCACCATCTTCTGGTTTACTTCCTAGTCCACCAATGCCAGTTCTTCCTTCCCCAAGAGGAGTAAATGGTCCTGTACCACCAATGCCTAATCTCCCTTCTCCACGAATGAATGGTCCTGTTCCACCAATGCCCAATCTTCCATCCCCACGGATGAATGGGCCTGCCCTTTTACCCTCTCCAACTTCTCAATTCCTTTTGCCGTCACCTACTGGTTACATGAATTTGTTGTCCCCCCGCTCACCTTACCCTTTGCTTTCTCCTGGGGTTCAATTTCCTCCAATGACTCCTAATTTTGCTTTTTCACCAATGGGTCAGTCAGGGATTTTAGGTCCAGGGCCTCAACCTCCACCTTCCCCTGGTCTTGTGTTTCCATTATCACCTTCTGGGTTTTTTCCCTTCCCAAGTCCAAGATGGAGGGATCAATAGTCCAAGATATTGCATTATTGTTCTCATCAGTTCCATACTTGTTGAGGAACTGGGAGCTTCTTCATGAAGGTTAATCTCCTTCCGATGGAGGTTCAATTGTGAAAATATAATGTACACTGATGGTGTAAGGGTCTTCTTAAAGTTCTATTTGCTTCTTTTGTTTTCTTTTTTGGTCTTTTACCATGTTGATACCCATTTCCCAAGTTGTCTGCGCTGAGGCTTGTAACAGCTGCAATGCTTTTTGTATTCTTGGACAAGTTTTTCCTAGGAAATAGTGGAGATCGGATAACTCAGTTGGACATCTGGATAGAAGCTGTAACATGAAAGAGCTGTAACCTGTAAGGAGGTAGGATCACAGGCATAAAAAATTTATAGGTAGGCAAATCTAGTTGAAAAATTCTTGTGTAGTTGAACTGTTGTGGATTAAATCCTAATTAGTTTCAGTTAAATTCTTGTTCAATCGGATGGCATGTGGAAATAAAATGTTCAAGCAATTCTTCATTATTTAGTTGTCCATGTTATGCAAAATGAAGGGTGATGGTGTTAGACTCCCTCAAATTTTGCTCAAAATGTATAATTTTTTACTCCTATTGGTGTTGAGTTGCGTATAGTAAACCATTTTCTAATAAAAACTTGCCTTTGATTGATTGCCTACAGGAGAGTCAAATAGAGGAGTAATTATTTTCTTCATATTAGTTCCCTATAGCTCAATGATGCCATTGAGTACTCTCTAATCTGCTATGGGTTCTCCTCGTTTGATTCTTTTGCTTATATTAAATGCTATAGTTTGCCACACGAAGGCTTGTAAAACTCTAGAAAGGAAAGAAGTTGCTACTAACTGCCAGAAGCCCCAGCTCTGGCGCAAATTACTTCTAAGTAACAATAAACTGCTTTCACTGAGGCATTTTGATCTAGCTGTACCTTTGAACGGCCAAATTTTGATATTGCAACCTGTGTCAAATGAGTATGAAGCAGTTCCTTTGATTTGAAGCCAGTATAAATTTTAAATTTTATCTGAGCGTATTTAATCTCTTCATGAACGCTCTTAAAGATGCATTTCTTAACATCGATTTGATGCATTCAAGTTCTTATTCTTAGGTGATTCTGTATTTTCTTTGAGCATCTGCTCAGGGTAAATGGAAGCTGTAGCTGTAATTAAAGCTTCCCTTTCTAATATTGATTTGAATTTATAGATTAGTTCCCCTTTGCATAAATGGTTGGTGTCCCCTCCTCTTGCTATTTTGGCATCTCTAAGTTGAGAATACGAGTCAAGAGGTAAACGTTCACACCATGGAAGAAGATATGTCCGAAGCAAAAGAGAGAATCTTTTGGTTGTGAGACTTTTTAACGTCTATGGTCAACCAAAATAGAGTGGAGGAGTGGTTTACTTTACTGGGTTCCACGACAAATATCGTTTTGTTCGACATTTGCTTGAATCTTTGGACTGTGGGGGATATGTTGAAATTCCCTTATCAGGTTCAAAATTTTTATTATATTAAAATGATGATAAAATTTTTTATATTAATAAAAGTAGAAATATTTTAAAAATTAAAATATAACACAATAATTTATTATTTATTATCAATTACTTTTAAATTAAATATTGATAATTAAATGGTTAATGATAGGAGAATAGGTAGAAGGGAAAACCTTTTACATGCCTTGAGTGAAAGGCAAAGTGTTCCGAGTTTCATTAAAAGCAAAAGTCTTTTGTCTGCTTAGTTCATTTAAGTAAAGTCAGAGTGGAGTTGGTCTCAGATTGGCAGGGCCAGTTTTGAAAGAACAATTTGCAAGTCAGATGTTTCCCTAACCTTGCCTCGGGGAAAGGGGATGGGCTTCCATTAATGGAGCAGGTTTTCTCCATCAGGTTTGGTGGACTGTTTTCCTGTCAAGAAGGGAAGCAAAGGACCATGGAGATGGACCTCAATGAAATCATTGGCATGCTTGTTTTCCTTAACATTGATGCATACATGCTTCATAAAATCTACATTGAAATCATGAAAAGCCTTACCTAAATCCATATAGAACAATTGAATTACTGTAGTTGGAAAAAGATTAAGGGTGACAATTCCAATTAAAATTGATGGCAAAATGGGTAGAGGAAACCTTATATTGCCATACATATTTGCTAAAAATTGAAAGTTGTTTCGTATTTAGAGAGACCACTATATTTGAATGAATTTTACAAGTCAATTAAATTTTAAAAAATGAAAGGTACTAGTACAGAGTTGTTATATTTTTGTAAAGGGAAAAAATAAAGGTGATAACTCTCCTCTCCGTTTCTATTTCTCACTCCCCCTACCAAACAGAATGGTATTATTCCATAATCAAAATTGGGCTTTAGGTGGACATTTATAAATCGGGCCGAAGATCCCAAACTTGGGTCGGGGCCATACTTAGCCAACAGGCCTAAAGCATTTTGGATTGGCATTTAAGGGGAAATGCAAAATGTTTCTTGACCGTAATTTCGTGGTAATTAAAATGCTAATATGCAAAAAAAAAAAATGTTGATTATTTGCTTTTATAAAATAGTATTGCAAACAACTTTTATCATTTGCTGTCGTGTATGATAAGATTACTTGTTCTTTTTAGTAAAAGGTGAAAACTAATTATTGGTTATTTGAAACAAAACGCATGCTGCAAGTTGATTCTTAAATGCATATGGAACTATGTACGTACTGGGTTGCCTTACAAAAGCATAATATTGAGTTGTCCACTTGCTCCCAATAAACTAAAAAGAAACGAAATATCCAACCAGGTTGTCCTCCTAATAATTAAGGATTTAATTTCCCTTTTGATAGTGTCCTCCTATCTACATAGGAATTATGGAAATTAAATTATATAATTTTTCCCATTTTTTCAGTTAATTAACATAGAAAAAACGAGAAATATAAAATATAGAAATATGCTTTAACCATTATAACCTTTATGAAGCAAGTAAAATTCGAGCCATGATTTCACTGCCTTACCTTGCCCATTTGATGTGATGATAAGAAAGAATTAAACAACATCTGAAGATGGCATTGTGAGCGTGGAAGGATTGATGATTATTGAGTCAATTATTTCAAGTGAATCTGACAAAATAAAAAGCAGGATAAAATAAGGGCTGACAAGAGTGTGGCACCCATGGAGGTGGTGGGGGTATGGTATGGTGTTAGAATATTTTCGGCCTCTAACATTTAATTTCAACGACAATGTGCACACGCCCCTGGTTTTCTTCATTGGACTTGGAAGGCCTCTCACTTGGAGATGTGGCCATCACCTTTCTCACCAAAAAAGAACCAATTATTAACCAAAGAAAATCTAGGCAAAGATTCTTTTGGCAAACCACCAAACCAATTTTTTTTCCCCTCTTCCTTCCCTTTCCATCCCTCTCTAAAGCTGCTCTTTGTAGCTTCTGTGCCCCTCTTTTTCCACTCTCTCTTGGACAACACGAATCTTCCTTTCCTTAATTGTCGCAAGTTGGCCACTTGCACTTAAATTGCCCTTTCGCCTACCAAAAGAGGCAAGTCGCTTTCCATGAGACTTTCTTTGTCAAATTGGGGGGTGGGGAGGAAGGGAGGATGGTGCTCCTTCACGTGGCTTAGATTATTAGAAAAAAAATAAATAAAGTCTCCACCAAAATTGTGATCATTATTTAAGTTTTATTTCTTTCTCTCAGATGACCCTCAAGGAATATTAATGTTAGATAGACCAATCACATCCTCTCAAATAATTGGATATTCAGGACCCAAAAAAAAAGGGGGGGGGAGGTTAAGCATATTCCATGATTTCAACTGTTGTTGGCGTCCAAAGGCATTTTCCATTCGGGAAATCACTCTTCAAAGGGAGCTGCCTGCCCTCGCCCCCACTTTCTAATCTTATCCAATCCGGCTGAGGATAAAGACACTGCATGCAATACTATGTCTAGTTTTTAAGCTTTGTCTGTGATTCTATATTTTATCATAGGCATGCACTCAAAGATTTGGATCATAGGATTGATTTTCATATTTTTTCGACCGATAAAACAAGCTAGCTGTCTATTTTAACCAAATTTTCTGTGTGTTAATTGTATAAACTATTTCAATATTTCAAACAAAAAAAATTTACTCAATTATTTACATATATAAAGTCTCAAAATATCAGAAGAGGAATTTGTCTCATATAACAAGTTTTGCATAATTGGCCCAAAAAACAAATCAAATAAATCAGTGAACAATATTGTTCAAAGTATTACTAGTGTTAAAAATGTTGGCAAATATTCATATTACCTCATAATTTTTTAATCTGTTCGAATGTTCCAAATTAATTATACTATATAGATATATAGATTGATACATTATATCTATCTCTATATCTAATATTTGCATTTTCTTTCCTTCACATTTTCCATATGAACTAAATACATATGGACTTTGGTTTTGTTGGTTCTTAAAATGATATTGAAATAGCTAGATGTTTCAGTGAAATAGAAATACCAAAGAGCCTTAGCATGCCTTATTATCTCTCTTTTTTATTTGGAATAGAGATGATTGTAACTAAGACCATTTTTTTGCAGGTAAGATTTGGTCTTGTGCTCGTTAATTATTATTATTTTGAACAAACAAGTCTTACTGCTGATCGAGTAGGATAATTTCCAACCAGCAGCATGGGTAAGAAAATAAAAAAAATACCAAAAATTACACCCATAATACAAAGTAAAATTGTTGTATAAGACGCTGATCAATACCTAGAATATGAATGGCTTTGGAAACAAAACAAAATTTAAGCTCCAAAACATCATGAGAAGAAGGGCAGCCAATGGTTATATCACAAGGAACAAAAAACAATTGTTATATCGTAATATGTAATAAATGCTTGCTTAATTACCTATCTCTTTTTATTTATACCTAACCGGACAATTGTCCAAAGAATGTTGGAGTTGGGATTTGATATTTGTGCTATCCAACTCTCTACGTATTTCAACATTTGGTTTATTGATTGATATATAATCGTTTATTTAAAAAGTAAATTGGAATACTCTTTCTCTCAATTGAAAAAAAAAAAAATCTTCAACATTGTTTTCACCAACATATCCCTAAATATGTAGAACTCAATGGAAGAAACCTTTTTTTAATTTGCATGTTTAATTTATGGACAGCACAGAGTTTGAATAATTCCAATTGAGCATCTTTGATTGTATTTTTTTTTCATGCCAAAGGCAATTTTGCAACAATGTTTAAAGTTTAGAATTTTGTTTTTATATATAAGCTTGCACCCAATTGAGCTTCACTATTAAGTTTTGCTAACGAGTGTACATTCTTTGAGATTATCATATATTAAGTAAATCAACTTATATTTGGTGTAATGTTTATTTATCAGCGTATACATTTCAAACACTGTCAATGGACGAGACGTTATAGATTACTAGATGAAAAGAAATCCAATAATAAAATCCATAAAGAACAAGCCATGGCAGGGAGCTTCATGCATGTCGTGCATGTGCTGTCTGCTTCACTACCACAAAAGGATAGTTTTTGAATACAAATTAACTATAAGGAATGAGATCACTAATTACCCTTCAGAAAAACATAATAGAATCCATAAAGGAAAAAAAAAAAACGAAACTTAAGAAGACGCAATTTTTGTAAGTGTGAACCCCTTATGATGCTCAATACACCTTTTGATTTATCATCAAACACTGCCAATTACCTTGATAGTTGAATTTTCATTTTTCTGTGTTCATATGGCGAAGATATAATTAAGTGAAGTCTTCACCAATCTCGTGTCTCTAAGAAAACTAAGCTGCATTGATTGCCCTGCATATTACTACTTATTAAATATATCTGACCGGCAACTGTATGATAATGAAACCTTATCTGCCTTAAGAAGACCTTTACGTTACTCAAATAGTCAACATGCCATGAAAATGCACCTAAACCCTAGGGTTTTAAATTTCAACAGAAAATGTATACACTCTCAAATCACAATATACAGCTATAATATTATTTAGGCTTCATTCATTTTTGGCCTCTCAAGTAATTAAAACATAGCTTAGTGATAACAAAGATTTACCTCTGCAAACACAAATTTATATCCTCCTTGCAAAAACAATAAATAAAGAAGAAAGAAGAAGAGGAGGAAGAGGAAGGAATTCTACCGGAACAGAAAGAAAGTAATTGAAGCAGCAAATCATTGGCGAGTAAACCAGATATCCTTGACCTCAGCCTGTTCAAAGCATATCTGAACTAAAGAAAATAATATGGCATTAAACAAACCTTTCCTTGTCACCCTGCATTCAGCCATAATTTACCCAGAGACAGAAAACAGAAAACGTTTAAAAGAAGAATGGCTAGACCCTAAAAAAGGAAAAACAAAATAGTAAAATAAGAGAAACACAAGGCATACATTGCCATGTTCCCAGACAAAATTAGGTGAATTTTAGGTGTCGCCAGCAGGAAAGATAGAACTCAGTTCAGACCTGTGCCAGTTAAAACTCAGACTCCATTAATGATCAGAGTCAACCTAGCTACCTCTCCCTTCTATTCCATTCCATTCCATGTCCGCTCTGATCTTGAACCATCTCGATCAACGTCTATCTTTCCATCGTGAAATCCACACTTGGCCGAATTTCATCCTTGCATATATATTATTCACGGATATAATTCCACCGTTGTACCTAACATATTTTCTTACCGATAAATCGCGTCCAATCTCTGAATCTGAAAACTCAGCCAACAACATGGAGACCATGACAGTTTTGCTTAAATATAGTCATGGCCCAAACAATATAGTAAACACTACGATGATCTCGAGTTAGAATCCCAACAATGTCAGAGCCGGCATGAACTAAGACTATGATGCCGGGAAAAACCCCACCGATGACAATGAAACATCAAAATCATGACACTGATAGTAGCTGTTGTTAATAATGGACTGTGCATGATTGCCATCGGACGGTCTATGTCATTTGTAGACAACAACGTGAGGGTCAGTGCGGGTATAAAGAAACAGTTAGGGGGAGTCGAGACCTTTTGGCATGGAAAAAACGGCTTTTTCTTTTTTTTAATCCTTAGCTTAAAATAGAAAATGGGGCTGCACGAACTTACCAGAAACGACCCTTTTGATATATTTCTTTTAGCCTGCCAATAATTCCAGCATACTTTACCTAATTTAACTGTTGTACTACTCTCACCCTTTTTTTTTCCTTTCTTTCTTTCTGTCCCTTTCTCTGTAGATTCCTGATGTGGAAAAAAAGCAGTCCCACCTGACGCAACTGGTGGTTCATTGCTCTTTTCCTAGACGGGGACCATGGCCTAGGGACTAGCCTCAGGCCACTCCCTTAGTAGCCAATATTCTTTCATTCCATGTAGAGTGTCTGATTGCTTTGTGCCTTGTTTATAGATAGCGAGACATGAAATCGTGGAGGGCTCATCTCATCCCATTTTCTTATTATCAAAGAATGAGTGCAGAAGACAAAACAGCCTAGATGAAATTTTTAGACAATCATAGGTTCAATGCATTTTTCTAACATCTTCGAAGAATTATAAACGGGGAAATCATTTCCCGTATTGTGTATGGTGTAGAATAAAGAAGGAATACGAATACGAATACGAAAACGAAATTATCCTTATCATTCAGTTAATATATATATAGTAGAAACAATCATATTGATGTTATGAATAGTATTGAAAGATATGATCACAAAATTAGATTCTTGAGATATTGAAGGGATAGTCAAAAGCACATATTTGACAAAAAAAAATATTGGAGGGAGCTGACGCATATAAGACAGCTGCTTTTGTCTTAATTCATGGTATTTAAAACAAATAAAAGAAGTGAAAAAAAATATTGGCTCTCAAAGTAGAGATTCGTAGCCAACTATTGCTTCCTTGATTTGATCACCACTTTGCACTACATTTAATGCTAATTAAAAAAATTAAAACCAGAATTGCATCAATATTGTTCAAGTGAAAAACATTTCTGTACAAACGCATTGACTCAAACGCCCTTACCATATATGTATCCACAGTCCACACCCACATCCCAGTCAATCTACTGACAGAGAGGATATTCCGGTAATTTCACAGAGGGGGTTAACCCAAACGCATTAAAATTAGAAAAATTAAAGAAAAAACATAACCCATCAAAAACACACAAAGAAAAGCGAGAGAAACAAAGAAGAAAGGTACAATTTTTTTTCTTCTCTATATTTTTTTTCCGCCCTTTTCACATCACCTGTGATTTACGACCGTCACCATCACGCGCTAAGCCTTCGGTGACGGTGGCCAGCTTCTGCAAGTTCAACTTGACAACAGTATCGGCAAACAGCCGCGTGTCTTCGTCCGTATTCCCTTCTGGAACATCAACAACGTACGATTCCAAAACGATGGTCCAGATCCTCCCGTCACGCTGGAAACCATGCACCGTAGTCACCGACCTGTAATTCCTTAACCGATGCTCCCCTCCAATGATACTGAAACCCGTGACCTGTCGGTCATCATCTAAGATATCGAGTCTCTCGGTGCTGGTGGCAGCCGGTAACCCGGAGATCACGTTGACGTCACGCGTGCAACCCACGACCATTCGGAAACCTTCTTTCACCGTGCAGCTCTTGATGAAGTGTTTGTACGTCTGGGGTTTATCGAAACGGCGGACGACGGACCAAACTACGTCGTGCGGGGCGTTGATAGGTTGGGCTAATAAGGAAGAACATTTGCCTGGACCCACCGAGTAGGTGTGGAACTGAGTGATGGAAGGGATTAGGTCGCAGAACTCGTCGTGGGTTAACCCGGTGGGGATGGTGAGGTGGTGGGTGGTAGGTTTGGAGTCGGGTCCTGCGTTGGGCATTGAAGAGGAAGGTTCGGGTTTTGGGTCTGCCATCGGAGGAGGGAAAAGGCAAGAGCAAGAAATGGGGAAGGGGTTTATTGGGGGCTTATAAGGGAAAGGGATTATGGGGAATGGTGGAGGGCAAAATAGGAAGTGAGAAATGAATATTTAATTGTTTTTATAAATTAAAAATGAAAAGGGTCTGATCGGGGTGGCCAGCAGGTGAAGGAGACAGGTGGGTTTGGGCTCAGAGGATTTGATGTTGGTTGCTTGACAGATCAACCTGCCTTTCAACATATTGCAAAACTAGAGCTCAGAAAATCCATGTTGTTTCTTTTATTTATTATTATTATTAAAAACAAGATTAAATCCTTATTTAAACAAAAATAAATATTATTATTAATAATGAAAATTAATTGCAAACACCTATAATTTAATCCAATTATACACTACATAAATAAATTATAGTTGTTCAAAAAGTCAACCCTTTCGAGTTAAGAAAACCTCAAGCTTGACTGGATTAATTATAAAATTCGAGACTTAAGATTTTTTATTTTAATTTTTGAGATTTACATTTGTATTTAAAAAATATAACTGAGTTATTCGAACTCAATTCCATTATAATGAATTGAAATTCTACTTACAATCAAATCCTCTTGACGTCAAACTTTGAATAGAAAATGTAAACAAACTTTTGTTTTTACTCCGAATAAAGACAAATTAAAAAATACGTTTGAGCTTAGTATTATGCTTGCTCAATTCCTATTACCTTTGAGAAATATAGTAATTATTTTATGTGAATATTAGTGTGCGGTTCGTCTTCCAAGTATTATGTTTTAGATGATATGTTTACAGCATAGTAATAAGCATTATAATTATAAAAAAATTATTAAAAATATTTTTCAATATTCAATAAATAATTTTAATACAAATAAACAAACAAATGTTTAATCATATATATTCATATACATATAAGTATGTTTAATTGTTTATAGAAGAGCAAGAAAAAGATTTGAATTATAAGTTTTGTTTAATTGTAGTTTCCTAGTTCGTTGGAAACGATGGGATGAGAACAACCGCACTGCCCCAGCACCCAAGGTGAAGGGAGGTAACATGGGAAAAGCAGCCGCCAGCGGCAGAGACAACGTGACAGATATAGACTGTTGTACAGTATTTCCAATTTTAATTATAAATATAATTAAAGGTTATTATGATTTGGTTTTCTCGTTGGGCTGCTTTCTTACATCCTACTGTCAAAGTCACTTCCAATGATACAAACAAAATTGCTTTTGGGCCATTAATTTCCTTCTCAAAGAGATAAAAACATAAGTGCCCAGAAATTTATCTCAAATTGCCTCTTTCACATTAATCAAAACCATTATTTGATTAATTAATTACCATGCGAGAACGATGGCCTGCTTTGGAAAAGAAAATACGGCGTCCACATCATTCCACGGCTAATCCAGCTAAGCAAACCGATTCCTTTGTAATTTGTATACATCCACAAATAGTTCAACCCTCAGTGTATAATTTTTTAAAACAAAACTTATCGTCTCATCTAAATTTCCTTTGTTGACCCCAATTATATTTGAAACAGGCAAATTGATCGTCTCTCGATTAAAACAATGCTAAACATTAATTATAATTTTTTCGTGTGGACATCAAGCATCCAACCAGCTTTTGTTTCCATGACTTCTTGTTCCCTTTCAATATTTTACTCATTTACATTTGTTTTTTTTCTTAAAAGGGTTGTCATTTTTTGCCATATCTTTCCAACGACTGCGTAAGAAAAGTTGACAGGAGAATGTGAGAGATTGGTGCAAATGGCTCTAGCCTTAGTCCCATTGATGAGACATGATGTTGAATTTCCCATATGTGTCTAAATTCTGTCTAATTGGTTTGCTGATATCTTTAAATTACCCAAAAAGTAGCCAAGCAAAGAATAATTTAGGCTTCGTCTATTGGGTTTTTTTTTTTTTAGTATTGTCATAAGAGGTCAAGCTCTAAGAAGGAATCAACTCCCTCATCCTTTGAGGCTTCCAATTAACTGATCAAGCCAGTTGCTTTGCATCAATGATTCCAAATTGTTTTTCTGAAATTTGGGTTCGTTGAATCTTGAAGTGAAGTAGCTGTCTGCTTGCAATTTATGTTGCTATTTGACTTGTAAAGCATGGAAGGTCCAGTTTTCCATGAGAGAAGCCTTGGACTTCAATGAAAACCCACTTGAAGACAATTCGATGTTAGGCATCTTTCTTTGTTTATTGGCGGGAGGGAAAGAGAAATACACCTACAAGATCTTAATAAATAAATTCATTGCAACCCTGGCTTAATTGAGATCATAGCAACCAATGGGACTAATTAATTAGAGAATTGAAGTTGCATTATCCAAATGTGTCATTGGACAAGAAACGTAAGCTTGGAGAAAAAGGCAGGTTAATTAGCAACCTAATATTTTCCAATGCGACCACTTGGGAGATACCTTCTTCCCAGTTTTGCTTACTTTTTCTTTCTTGCCCCACCTTTTGTTCCCAACTTGCTGCTTAAGAGGGTTTGGATCTTTCTTCTTTTGTAGCATTGCCTCAGATTCTTCCTGTACAAAAAAAAAATGCCAATTGAATTATATTCATATTTTTGTGACATACAAAAGCCAACAGTGCAGTACATCCCATCAGAATTCTATTCAGAAAGAGAATTTCAATACAAGAATTTGAGATAAAGAAGCCAAATACAAGTAGAATTGATTAATGGTTGATGGTATATAAACGTACGTATGATTCTTCGGACCAATTATTAGGTCCAGACTGTCCACACTTGACCTAAACAAAAAGATCCCAAATCAGATGATCTGCTTGGATATATATGCCTAGCTCCATGTGGAAATGCCTGATCTGGATCATATGATAGAGTAGGAACATAGAGCTCACTTTGGCCAAACAAAAGATCATGAAGACAGAAGCAGATGTAGACTCAAATTAAAGGTAAATCAAATCATCATTGGCTTCATTAATTATCACCATACAAATTAGTCAAAGATAATGCACATAATCAAATGTACTTTGTGAAATTTCTTACATATCAATGAGAGAAGGGCAATGAGAGAAAATCATTGCCAATAACTTTAAAGTGGAAAAAATATTTTGAAATAAAGCCTTCTTTGCTTCAACTCTCAAAGGGTAAAAAATTTTGATCAGCCAACTGTGGCTAATAATAATATCGCCATATGGACTTGCGCGATCAATTCATCAAGATAACATCTGAACACTTAATTTTTTGGCCAAAAGTGAAATATAATATGAATAAACTAAAATAATGGGGTGTCAAGATTCCTAATGAGGTTGTTTAACAATGATTATTTAAACCATAGTTTTATTTTTGTCTTTGTCGGTGCGAGGAGAATATTCAGAGACACTAATTACCTGAATTTCAGGCCTGGTGAACAGGACTTGATGAGGTGGCTGTTTGTGAGCTTGATTTGAGTTGATGAAAGTAGGCAATGAGCGAGATATTGGTTGCCCTCTGGATCCTAGGCTGGAAGATGCATAACCAGATGTTGATGTTGAAGTGCTAGATGTGCTACTGGATTCCAACTCTAAGCATAGCTAAAACAAGGAGAACAAAATAAGCAAGATTATCAATGAAGGGAAAAATATAACTTTGTGGTGTTAAATTATTCTATGCTAGTCAATGAAGGGAAAAAAAAAATCATAACATTGTCTTCTGGTACCTAATTTTAAAGAGTGCAAGTTTTCTGCATGATGATTGGAAGACAATATTTCAGTATGCTGCAATTTGTACTGATCTGGAAATGAGGTGTAGCCACGGTGTTTAAGCAAAAACATGATGACTGACCATTTTAACCAGGAAGGGTACTGTTCAAGGCAGGTTTAGTAAGGACCCTGATTGACTTGAATCTTTCTTATAAATGAACTTGACCTTAAGTTGCTGTCAGGAGCCAGCGAGAGCTAAAAGTGTTACTAGGGGTGGGGTCAAGCTTAATATCAAGTTGATGTATTGTAATCAAAATATATCCTTGCATTAAAAGGCGAATCAAATCATTCCAAATTTTCTATTCATCCCACTACTCTTGTCAAAATCCCCATTCCACATGAGATCAAGCCGAAATTTCAGAATGATTTCCCAACCTTAATTTGTGATATGCACGAAGACCAAACCACCTTTGAAGGCTTGAAACACGACCATCATCGTTGATTTAAAGGGCATAATCTCAATAACTGTATTTCCTTAATTTTCTTTTCCCAAAACACTGGTTTTGTTTCTTTTTTAATGAAATTTTTTTAAAAAAAAACCATTGCTTTTACCTGGAAAAGTCTATGTTCAAGAGATGTCACCCTGTCCAACAACGACCCTTTGAAGTAAGCCTCCCTCATTGCCAAATCTAATGGCATGCATTCTTTTTCCATTCCTTTCTGCAAACTTCGTTTTCCTTCTAAATACTTCATCTGTGTTGAAGAGAATTCGTAATGAAAAAAAAAAAAAACCAAAAACAAAAACAAGCATAAAAGTGGAAGCCACTGCAAGTAATATTTGGTATGTTATGATAGAGGGAGAAACTCACAATGAAATCCAAATGATCCAACCTGGAGGCAAGAGTCATAGAGGAGTGAGATCTTCTTCCATTTTCCATTTTCTTTTATTTTGGGATGAGATTTGCGCTTTGGGTTGAGATCATTGAACAAGTGTTTTAAGGTAGTTTATCTGTGCAGAGCTATTAACTCTGGAACGGTTACATATGCCCTCCTTTTCAGTCAGCCATGCGCTAGTTTGTTACAGTTACGTGGCAGACGACCTGTACAAGCTAGAAATGGAGGCTACACAGACGGAGCCACAGTTCAATGCTCCACGGGCCATGTCTGTTGTTTCTTGTGACCCAAAATAGAACTCAGTCCAAGTTTTTGGCTTTGAAACCAAAACCCACAAATCTAAGCATGGGCCAGATTTCTTGCGAGTTTTTTTTGTTAGAGAGATTGGTTTTCCATTGTTTGACGCAAATATTCCACACAGAAGACGAAAAAAGCTTTAGCTAGGAGTAACTATAAATATGGTTGATTATTGAAAGAATGTTTCCTCCAGTCAATGGAAGTTACAGCAATCTTGAAGAATAGAAACCCTGTCACCATATTGCCAAAACTTCGTTTAAACAGGATAGTTCATTGACGGAGATAATTGGCTTCGATAAAAGCAATATGATAACAACGGCAAGCTTTTAACCATGCTTGGTGAGGAATCAGTGTGCAACAATTGATCAACCCAAACTAGCCCTTGTCACTTCGTATGCCAAGAAGCATGCTGCATTTGCAGGGACACTTCGGGCCATGGCTGGACCAAACCCTCTGTACAGGCCTTTCGCCCCCTCTGAAGCTAAGATCCTCCTAAAGGCATTTATGGAGCCAGTGTACTTAGGATTTTTGTAATCATCGACCTGGATCACACTCTTGACAACATCAGTTGGGTAGACAGAGAACCAGAATGAAGCTCCAGCCAAGCCTCCAGCCACGATCAAAGAGCCTCTCCCTAATTTAGAAGTGTCTGGCCCTCCTGCCATGTACTGCTTCAGTGCTTCATAGACACCAAACATAGCCGCATTTCCAGGAACCTCACGTGCCAAGGTTGGAACCAAGCCCTTGAAGAGACCCCTTATGCCACCTTCTGACCTGAGAACATGCCTGGCTACATCCATTGGCCCCCCATACTTCACTGCCACACCGGCTGAGCCAGAATCTGCCAGTGCACTTTGGGCTTGCAATCTGCTTTCACCATAAGACCCAAGAAGTAAATAGGTGGTTTGAGGACTTTATGAGTTAACACTTATCCCATCCAAATGACAAAGTGGAAAATTATTTGAAAAAAAACTTACCAGCACTCCTTACATCCAGGTTGTACAGATTTGGTAAACTAAATCAAGAATTTACTTGAAAATGGGAAAAAAAAAAAAGACCATAAGGTACTATAGCTAAAAATTGAGAGAAACATAGAATAGGAAAACCATGATACTGACCTGCATTTGATCAACTCAGTGGGGCAAGCTAAGAATGAAACAGCAACTCCAGCCCCAGCCCCACAAACAACCTGCTGGCTAACTGTGAGGGGGGCACCAGGTTCTGATCTCAACAATGCCTCCAGTTGCCCTCTCACAGTAAAAAGGACGGCATTGAAGGCTGCCACAGTGGCCAGTGGAGCCCCCATACCCTTATACAAACCCCTTGGGCCTTCAGCAGCTAAAGTTTGCTTGACAGCATCCATAGCACCAGCATACTTGGGTGGTTGCCCAGGGAGTGGAGCAGGTTGGCTTTGAAGCTTAACCTTGATGGTATCAAAAGGGTGCCCAACTATCAACTGTGCAGCCCCTCCAACAGTTCCAGACGTTAGATCCTTAGCTACGTCTCCCATCTGCAAAAATTAAACATGTAGTAAAATAATTAATTTACTGAAGTGGCATCGAATCTATTAAATCGAAAGGTGTTTTTTCCCGTAATAATTGAATTTAAAACTCAATGAAAAAGAACCTGAAGATAGAACATCTTCACTTGAGCTTCGAGTTTGCAATACAAGAAATCAAGAGCAATAATTTTCAATGAAAATATTTTTGTTATTAATTTATATTTTAAGTTGAATGCTTCAGTTATAATATCACCAAACAAGGAGTGTTGCCTTCTATTATCTCTGCTAGTATTATAATAATTTAACAGGATGGGTGAAGGAATAATTGTTAAGGGAAGTGCAGACTTGTAAATGGAACATCATCTGTAACTAAAATGGCTTATCCAAAGGACCATATGCAGGCTTTTGAAATAAAGACACCATGTTTGACCTATATCGATAGAATAATAACTCACCAACCAATGCTTCCACTACTCTCCACACTTTTTTGTCCTTGAGAACAAGTACAACTGGATTAGCTCCAGGAGAACATCATTCTCATTAATAAAAGAGACAGATCCAGTAACATATCTCTTATACCACATCTTATGTCTATATAGGGGGGAGAATGCACCGATAAATAACCTCTTACTCGCAACCCTTTCTACCGTAACCATGAACCATCACTTAAATTACAAGTAGTTATGTTGTGGTTCTTCCTTGGCAGATATAAGGCAAAAGCACACAACAGCATACATTTTTCTGGTAAGAAAATCAGCTTTAATCACTGCAAGGATCCGCAGGAGGCAGACAAAAACATTGGTAGTGCATGACTTTTAAGTGAAATGAAGATAATGACAAATGAATAATTAGCAGCAGGTGAACAGCTTAAGCTAAGCACACTAGCACACATACTCAAACTCATTCTCCGTCTTAAAAGTGAGTGTGTCCTTTAAACTAGACGCATAATTTACTTCGGCTTGATCTAAAAATTTGACATTAGCTGATAGTATAGCAACTTTACACATGGCAACTACTTGAAGAAACCAAAGGCAGTGAGATTCAGTAACCACAAGCAATGATTAAATTTAACAATGTGCGAAGCAATCTGGTTCAACATAGAAGGCAATTTTGGATGCGAATATTATCGAATAATAAAAGATTTAGAGAAGCTCAAGTCAAGTAAGCAGGGTTTTAAAAACTCAAGAACTATGAACTCTCAACCATCGGGTTATTAAGACCAAGATCCAATTCCAAACCTTTGCTTGTATTATTTATAAACATAATCAAAGCATTGAAATATCCCAAGCTCTCAACTGCAAAATGATAATTTAAGAGGAAGAAAAGTTTTCTTTTCACATTTTGAAACCAATTAACAATATGAAAGGAGACTTAGGCAAGAAAATTAAGCACAAGCCACATTTAAGGGTAAGAAAAATCATTAGAGGAAGTTGTAGGCCACCGATATCGATCTTTATCAAAAATAAAATAGAATCAAATAATACATCCTCAAACAAGATATCCTTTTGAAGCAAAGCATATCGAAGAATCCATAAAAAGAGTAACTTTGGATTCACAGGCTTCTGCTACAAGTCCAAAGCTTACACCATTTTAGAACTGGTGTTTTATATTAAAAGATAAAAACACGCATTTCAATCAAAGATACCAAACAAGGGACAGTTCCCCAAAAATGGTAACTGAAAAAAGAAAAAAGACCACGACAAATAGATGAAATTCAGAGAAAATCCAACTCAAAAGCAGAACTTGAAAGAGTGCAGACAACATGCATATGAAATGCTAAAACACGGGTCCAGAAAACCAAACGGACTGTTACATTTACATTCCACATATTCGACAAGAACTAGGAGTCTTACCTTAAAAACGCAACACAATGAAAAAGAATCGAATTCGAGAGAGAGTTAGGAGTCCCAACCCAAGTGATCAAATCTGATTAAAAAAATAGAAAACCCACTAATCAGATCCAAAAATGTTTCTGTAACGCTCATCAAAGAATCAAAAAAGAGATAGAAAGCAAAATATTACCCAAAACTGACACGACATTTCCTACAAAAAGCCCCCAAAAGTTTTTTTTTTTCTTGAGGGGTGGGTTTGGTGAAGCCTTTTTTTTATAGGTTTTGTATTTGTGGGGTGTGAGACTGATGAGAGAATCTATAGGGAATAAAAGAGAAAACGTGAAATGAATCTTTGGGATAGGATTGAGAGCCACAAGAGAGTGGTTGGGTTAGACGCTCACTTGAAAAATAAAGGGACGACCAACCACTCTGCTGGAGAGTGGATTTCACACAAAGGAACAGAGACACAGAGATTGTGGTTGCGATGGGATTGTTTCTTATTGGTTTCGAGATGTGGACAGAATTGTTGGTTTACAAGCAGAGGCCAAGAAAAGATTGCAGTCTGCCTTTGTTTTTTCCTCCCACCACAACTGGCGTGTTTGGTGACTTGGATTCCGTTGCCCTGCAGTGGCAGCACATAAAGAAACTACTAATAAAAGAGAGAGAGGCCTTTCTTCTCTCCCAGATGAAAGGGTGATGGCTCTGATGCTATCGCCCTTCAAGTTATAAGCCCATTGCTAGCATTGTCAGTACCCAGTACTTCGTAGTGCCTGCTTAGGAGTTTGGAATTAGCCTTTCGAACCATCAAGTGGGCCAGCTTCAACCCATCATGAAAAACAATTTTCTTGATTTTTTTTTGCTTTAACTATTTTCATTTGGGATGAATTTTCTTATATTCCATCATTTTGATTTCATTTTCTGAAAACTAGAAGTTTGAGTTTGAATTGACTAGATTAGTCAATTCCGTATTCTGATTTAGAGTTGATGGAATTAGACCAAATATATTGTCGTCTTCTTGCTGTATTTGATTGAAAAAAGAGCATAATAAAATTAAAAAATTAGACAATCGGGCAGCAGCCTGAATAAGTTTTTTTTTTTTTGAAAAAATTGAGAAGTTTAATTAAATAAAACACTTTTAATTAGGCTTGAAAATTGAAGGATTCTATAATTTAGACTCCTGCAATCGATAGCTTAAAAATAAAGTGAGGAATGGTGTAAAGTTATTATGAATAATTAAGTTCAATTTCGTTTAAATTTATTTCAGAGTGATTTTGTAATATGATGAATGAGTTGTGGTTCAAAATTTTTGAAATTAATACTTTTAGAGTAATCCCAATTCTAGATAATTATCTACTCATTTTAGATCGAAGAAATTTTTAAATTTATTTTAAATTAAGTATAGTTTTACAAGTTACGTAAACTATCCTACTCTTACTGATAACTTTCTTG